AAAATTGTGAACAATCATTAAATTTAGGTCTTGTTTTTTGTTTCTTATTGACACAATTTAAACTGTGCGCTGAAGATGCAGAAACTTATAAATAATTTTAATGGAAATAACGTTGTGGATTAGCTGTACGAGAAAAGTTGAATAACTTTTTCATATTTTGACAGATATTAGTGATAAGGATTTTTTGGAGTGTACAATAACTTTATGTTGTACCGTATTTTTCACTGTATAAGTCGCAACCTTTTACATAAATTTGCAAGTCCTGCGACTTATACACCGAAGTGACTAATACACGTTATTTTCTCCATATTTATAACTCAAAACGGCCAATTCTCTCATTAATGGTAAAAGTGGCTATTAATGAGACACTTGGGTTGCCATAAAAAAAAGTCACCTTTGTCTTGCTCCAGAACTCCTGGAGCAAACGTCAAATCAGTTTCATTTCGCCGCACCGCCCAGGAGAAATGCAGCTGATTTGACCATTAAAGTGCATTTATTAAGGAAAAGTTAAACTGAGATACAACTTTGCTATAATTTGGAGCAAACAAATAATTGTTTTTAGGTGTTAATCTTGTTAAATTCTTGTTAAAGTCCTCCCGTGCACGCTCTCGCGGCCGCCAATCGATTTTTGGCACAACACATTTCCGGGTTGTCAGCGAAGACGCAGAATAGATGCAACTTATACGGCGAAGTGACGTCTTTATGTTTTTGTCCACTTTATTAGACATCTTTGGACTGATGCGACTTCTACGGCGGAAAGTACAATAATTTATAAGTCAGTTTTATTGTTGTTTGTACTGATCATTAAATTTTTATTTGAAGAAAATGAATCAATTATTAAATGACTATGGTTCAAAATGTTCACATGTTTTTTCAAAATATAGGATTTCATAATATTAACATTACTTACTGTGGAGTGACATCTCTCGAGTTTGGTAAAATATACAATATAGTTCAAGAGGGATTGAGACAAAACTAAGTGAAATTTATATTTTCTAAATGTTTTTTTATCTGAAGTTTTGTGTGAAAGATGAAACAAAAATCCTCCACACATCAAAAAGAGTGGGAAGAAGGAGAAAACTACAAATAATGATAATAATAAAACTTTCCAAACATATTAAATTGGCATGTTTTGGAAATGTTTGTAACATGATGGTTATTTTTTTTTTTACAATCTTCAAGCTCGGCTAACAGGAAGATGATTTATTTTGTATCGATGTGAGATCAGTGTCAGTCCTCAAACGTAAAATACACCAAAAATAAAAACAAGTTTCTACAAAAGTCAAACTAATCTTTGAACAGAAATCCGTCGTTGCATTTGCTGATTGTTTTAATTGTATAAAAAGTTAATAAAAGTTCGACTCAGACGTGTCAAAGTAAACCTAAGGTCACAGAGGAGACTGAATCGGGATCAGCACACTGACGAGCTTTAAGTGAAAGTCGCTTCACGTTCCCAAACAAAAGGCAGCAGGAACAAGGGCACAGGCTAACGCTAAGGTCGGTTAAATCATCCAAGCATTCTGCGTGTAAACGGTGAACAGGCAAAGCTTTTAATCTGCAAAGTGAAAGAAGAATGGCGGGAAGGAGCGGGAACTCAAGGTACGTTTTGGTCCTGCAGGTCAAACAACGTTCACACGTCCTTCAAATTGTACATGCGCGTCCTCCGATATGCTCATTTTAGCACGTCAGCACAAAACTTAAGCTTGGCCAAGTGATTCAAACTGAGAAAATGTACTGAAAGTGAAGCTTTTTTCTTAGTGCAGCTAAAGAGGAGAAAGCAAAATCCAACTTTTTTTTTTGTTTCTATTGAGGAATGGAAGCCACTCGTCTAAAATTCTATTATTTAAAATCATCTCTTGAAAATAAATTATATTTTCGCAGTACAGAAATAAATACATATAATCTCTCAAAAATAGGAATAAAGTCATCATCACAGATCTAAATGCTACACTGAATACATTTTTCACTGGCGCGTCTGTGAGGAAACAAGAATCTAACCGATAACCATCTGCCTGAAACCACCAGACACTAAAGCAGACACTAAATTAAAATTTACAAATTTTATGAACAAAGAGTCAAACCGCACTTCATACCAACAGCTTAACTATTCATCCTGCACAGCCTGATGACAAATCCCTTCTTTGATGAGCTCATTCGACCGTGGAACTAAAATAATAAAGCTGTGCTTTTGTTGTAAGAGTGCATGTTGTGAAAACGATTCATTTGATTAAAATTCAAGTAATCATTAGCGCTGAACGATAAAAAAAAAAAATATATGGCTTTGATCAAAATTTGCAGTCAACAATGTTCATTGCTGACAAATCCAAGGCAGTTGCAGAAAAAAATAAAATATTTGTCGAACCCACGTTTTTTGTTTTTTTTAAGTCAAAGATTTGGCTACATCCACACTAACAGGTTCATCAATTGATTGGTTGGTTGCCAGTTAGTAAAAAACAAATGAGGGAGCAAGAAGAAACAGCAGCACTGACAAAAGAAACGAGACATGCTGGAACCAACATGTTAATTAAATCTTGAGTTGAGTCTTTAAACCAGGGTTATTCAATTACCGTATTTTTCGGATTATAAGTTGCACTTAAAATCCTTTCATTTTCTCAAAAATCGACAGTGAGCCTTATGTATTGATTCTGGTTGTGCTTACTGCCCTCGAACAAGTTTAATGTGGTTATTGTGAATGAGTTGAATAAAGTTCGACTTATGACTGTTTTGTTTCGCTTAATGCGCCTTATAGTCTGAAAAATACGGTGAATCGTTTAGAGGGCCACGGTTAGCCAACAGCCTGAGTTTCTGTACTACTGTTATTATGTCAACTTAATTTATAATGTAAAAATTAATTTTATTTTAAATGAACTCATTAGCAACTGGACTGGATTGGATAGCCACGTCACAGATCCTCCATTTAACAGGAAATATTTCTGATTTAATATAGTTGTATGTTAAACAAACTATCCAAACTTCCACAGGCCAGATGTGGCCCCTGGACACCCGGTTGAAAAACTCTGCTTTAAACCAACCAGTCCACCATGTGAACCCCAGATTCATGTCATAAATGGTTCTTAATGTGAAATATAAACCAGTTTATTCAGCTCTGCAGGAGGAGGGTTATCTGATATTGATCACTGATGAAAATGAAATTGTCTTTAAGGTGTTGGATGAACATGCTGAACCATTTCCACCATGATGTGCACCAATCTGGCAAAAACGAATATTGGTACAGACACCTGTCTGTTTGTTAATTTTAGTTTGATTCATTAGTTTAGCTCATTGGCAGAATAAGTAGGTAGAAATAGATCACCTCAAAGAACACTGAACTGGACTGATGAGTATAGAGAACAAACTGATACCTATAAAGAACCAAGTGAGAATACTGTCTCGTACCAGATGGTAGAGGGTGTAATGTTTTGGACTTTATCTACCTTTAGCATGACCCTCACATTGTTTAAAGAAGTCTCTGTCCCATACGTTTTAGCCATTTCACAATTAATTTGCAGATTTCCAAAGGGTGGCACAGCTGGTAGAGTTGCCACCTCTCAGCGAAAAGGTCACTGGATCGAAGTCTAGCTGGAGGACCTTTCTGGGTGGAGTTTGCATGTTCTCTCCGTGCATGCGTGGGTTTTCTCCGGGTGATCCAGTTTCCTCCCACAGATCAAAAACATGCATGTTAGGCTGATTGGTAACTCTCCATATTTTACTAACAGAGCACTTTGCTCTCAGACTGCAGGATGTGGTTCTTAGAGTTTCCAAAAAGCAGAATTGGAGACAGAGCTTCCAGTTATCGGGTTCCTCTCTTGTGGAACCAAGTTCCAGTTTCTGTCCGTGAGGCTGACGCCATGTCTACTTTTAAGATTAGACGCAAGTCTTTTCTTTATCGATAAATCCTATAGTTCGGGTTGGCTTGGGTTTCCTGAGCTATCCTTTAATTATAGATAGAGAACTTTACTAATTGGTTTTTATGTATGTGAATGTTCCTGTAAAGTGCCCTGAGACAACTTTGTTGTGATTTGGCGCTATATAAATAAACTGAATTGAATTGAATTGACCCGAAAAGGAAAAAGCAAGTAAAGATAATGGATGGATGGATTTCCAAACCTTAAAAGAGCCTAAAATAGTGAAGAAATGTTCCCAGTAAGTGCTAGAATAAGAACCAACATAAAAATTGCAAGTTTTAAATGAAACTGCTTTTGTGGATGCATTTTAGATGTGAACCTTATTATCACTCTGTTATCTGTAAGTACAGATCTCAGGCCAGCAGTAAGTGAGCCGTCAGCAGTTCTTAGCCAGGCTAATGAGCGACTGGTGGTAACTTTAACTGTGCAGAGACAACAGTGGTTTGTTTCTTGTTATTCCATACTTTGGAAAAAACTCAAAGCATTTTTTTAGACTATTCTCTAAAAACACCAACATGCACTCTTGGTTAACTTTTAGGTAAAACCTGTGTGCAGTGTCTTGTAGAAAACTTAACAACCGAAAGGATAGTTAGGATGTTCAAATTACAGGAAGCAAAAATGAAATGCGATTGAACTGAGAAATATCTTTTTCCTCTCTTCGGTTCACAAAACCAACGATAAGCTTCAGATTTCGTGAACCATAGCGCATCACTGAAACATTTGATGTGTCTGAGATTCGTCAGGCAGACGGTAACAACACTCAATGTAACATCGACTGCAGGTCTAATAAAAGTCACATTTCTAAGAGCTACAGTAGCGTTTTCTACAGCAGAGTACGATCCAGGTTCTTCACGCAGCTGCTACATCACCAAAGCCATGTATTGTATGATACAGGCCAGTTACACCATCCTATAACTCAACACATTATGGTCAACCATTACTTAATAAATGTGAGGTGTTTAAATACGAACACAGGATTTTAAAAGCAAAATAAGTTTTCAATCCTTCATACTAGGCAGCGAGTAGCTAATGAAACTTTATGGAGGGTGACACTAAGGTTATATGATCTAACGCCCTGCAGCTTGATGTGTCACATACTACTGCAGGTTCTTGAGGAGGCGTCCATAGCGGAAGTCGTAGACATGTCGACAGAAAAACACCATCTCTAGGTCGACGTCGTCGGGCACACAGTGGTGAGTGGGCATGGCGTTGTCAACAATGGGTGGCACCACAAGGGAGGCGGCGCTGTTGCGTACATCCTCCCTCCGGCGTTTTACCAAGGCACAAAATCTGGACAAAGCACAAGCGTTTAGATCTGTTATCATAGAGTAGGGGTGGGATTTTTTTTCTCCGAGGGTCAAATCAAGACATTTAAAGAAATTGAAGGGTCGCATAGAAAATTGGAAAACGCTTCCTTGTTGTAGCATAGCTAGCATGCTTGATAAGAATACGTGTCCCTGATACTCTTTATGAATATAAGACATACGTTCTAAAAAGTGACTCTTGTGACGATATATTAACTTAAATGTGAGAAAAGAATCCAGTTATGCGTTTGCTTTTTTTAGTCTTAGGGTTCAGTTTGGTTTTGGAAACACAACTGGAAAAAAAAAAGTTTTAGCCTATCTTAATCTAAAAGTTTTCACTGTATTTGTCCAAGATGTTTATTTTAAACTTCCTTAAGTTTCAGGTTTTCATCAACTTTTTAAAAAGTTGTTTTGTTTTCAAGAATTTCCTGGGCCAGATGGCGATTATCCAAGGACCAGTTTTGGCTCTCGGGCCACGTGTTGCCCACAAATGTAAAGGGTATTCAGAAAAAAGGCTCACGTGTCTCAAGCGAACTTCAAGTAAACTAATTTGTCTTACCGACAATACTGTGCCAACGTTAGGACATAGCATTTGTCTTCAATACAGGCCACGCTGTTCACATCCTGGTGACGAGATGCAAAGATCTCATTCTGCAGAAAGACAACAAGATTAGAACGGATTATTTAAAAAAAAAACACAATACAGTAGCCACTTAATGTTCTGCTTTTTTTTTTTCTCCTCTGGCTCTCGCTCAAGACAGACGCTCCTGCTCTCCCTCTCCGTGTTCTCCATTTCCTCCTGCTTCTGCGTGTCTCAGAGCTCCTGGTAAACATCTCCCGAACGAAAATACTATTATGGATCTGGTCAGCTGGACTTTCAACGAAATCAACAAAATATTTTCAGCAAAACGACAGGGTCCTGGAGAACCCTCTTGCCCGGCTGAGACTCACGCTGCGGGGTACGTCAGAGACCAGCTGATGTGTCTCTCAGTTCTGTCTCAGGAGAATGCTGAAAACGTTTATATATCTGGATTTATGATAGCAGGGGTTCTGCTCTTTGGCATCGGCGGGGCTCTGTTTTATCAACTTGAAGAAGACATCGGCAGCAGTTTCGGCCATGACAAAGCTTCTAAGTCTGTGTTTGGTTCATGCTATGAGAACTCAAAATCAGCTGATTAACGAGCTAAACCGTAAGACGGAGGCGATTTGTGAGAATCGCAGGCCACCTGCGGCTTCTAGGGCTCGCCAGCATGTTGGATCGACCTTGAGGAGGCTCATAACGCAGATCAGTAGAATACCCATAAATTTGGCCATTTTGGACCAAGAACGTTCCAGCAGGACTCATGGCTGACGAGAAAAAAACAGTCTGCCGAAGAAAATCAACAATTGTAGCTTATCTGAATCTGACTCCCCCGTTTGGCCTTGGATACAAACCAACTATCACAATTCTCCTGTGACATGGGTAACTGGGGAAAAAGCTTTGTCTATAGCACCCACTCACCCCACCCCGGAGAACTTCTGTGCAGGCTTATCAGAACTGTGTCGGCTGACCAACATCTTATCAGGACTATGGCCTATCTATCTAAAAGTGCTCATGGACAAAGCTTAACGTCTTGACGTCAAATGCATATGTAGTCATGTTTATAAATGTGGTTGCTGGTAGAGTTTTTTTGGCATCTCAAATCGTGTCCTGATAGGACAAGATGTGAAGATATCTTTTTTGCAATACCACTTATCCATCCTCATGGCCTTTTCCCCTTTTCTATCCAAAAGTATTCTGATAAAGAATAAGGGGCTGCGCTATGATAGCAGCATCAACGTGCACTCCGTCCATCTTTCGGACGACTGTACGAACATAATTTCACTGTATCCCGGTACAATGATAATAAAGCTTATTCTGATTCTGCATCTGTTTGACCCTCTGAGGGATCTCCGAAGTTTACCTCTCGTCTCACCCTCAGGTCCAGTTATATCAAAGAACAAAGCTGTTTTTAATCTTCCTCTGAGGCAAAGTCCTGTTACCGTTCTCACACAGCTGCTCTGATACGTTTGTTTGTTCAGCTGAGACATGACAGGCTTCATGTGGTTTATAGTTTCAAGGGATTAAATCAAACTTTTTCCTCAGGGAGATTGCTGACATCAGGAAGCAAACCCCACAGAAGCTGCTTTCAATGAGTGCTTGTTTGTGAATTTTATGTATTTTAAATCCATAAAGTGTACTGAATGGGTAGATGCACTGTAATACAGATCAACAAGTCCCAAAACAAGGTAAATTTTATTAGTGGTCAGGGTAAATAAAAATAATTCAAGCTCCTTACCTCACAATGTAACGTGGGGTTGCGTCCCCCCTGCGTGTGTTCTGGACGGTAGTACCAAAACAAACTCATCATCAGCTCTCCTGAAGAAAAACAATCACAATTCAGCTCCAAAGCCAGGTATCAGATCGGTTCAGTTTCCCATATGGTCTGTATAACCAGTCTACCTGACTCCGGTTCCTCCCACAGAGCTGAGACCTTGGCCACGTAAGGCAGAGTCTTTTTTCTGGGTCCAGACTTCAGCAGAACCGTGTCTCTGACCCGAATCACATCCCCGTCCCTGTGGATTCCCTCAAAGCTCTTCCTCAGCACCAGCGTATCCTCACCCTGGGAATACAGGCAGTGGATTAAATCAACAGGTGCTAAGATTTCAGGAGAAAAAGTCGGGTGATGTGAGAGTGAAGAAGGTGTGAATCATAACATCTTTTGGGAACTGGAAGGTAAATTACACCTGATCTAAAGTCAAAAAGGGTCCTTACCACGATAAAAACCTCCTTCTCAAAGGGCAGGCCAACCGGCTTCCAGCCGTTGGTGGATTTTTGGCAGCTGCTCTTTGGCTGCTTGGCAATTGTTTGCCCTCCAACACTGACGGAGCTGAGCCTCTGTTTCTTGTCCCGGTTCAGAGGGGAGACAGCCGAGCTGCCGCGGACTCCAGATCTCGACCCGCTGGGCGGCTTGGCACTCTGCGGACACTCCTTCGCCACCTGCAGTTGAGACTGGGGTTGGCTGGGGTCGGACAGCGGAGTCTGAATGCGGGGCACTGACTGGCCGGCTGGAGGCACAGTGGGAACGGGACAGCCGGTGAGGATTCTGGGGCTGGGACTAATGGGGACGGAGGAGGGACTGTGGTGATCACTGATGGTTGATGGGTATTCGTCTGCAGAAGGAAAAGAAAAGGTATAATAACAAAGTAAAGTGCAACATATACACTCATTGAAGCAGCAGCCAATACGATCAACCACCTGTAGCTACATATGGTTTAAAATACAGCCGATAGTTCTCTGAACTAGAGCTGTCATTTCTAACCCGGACACAGAGTCCGGCGCGGCCCGACCCGGATTAGGGCCGGGTCATAATAATGTGCTGAATGTGCGAGCCGGGCTGGTGTCGGGCTTTTGACTGTGTCAGCGGATGCACACAGCTGATGATCCAATTATATGGCAACATGGCTTGCCATACAATCACCAGCCACACGCGGTCATTTGACCATGTGCTGACTGGCCTTGAAAGATGTTAAAAGTTCTGTTAAGCTTCAGATGGACTACTGCCAGCAATCCATCAAAGCCCAAATGGACGTTCATTCAGCCGCTGCACTCAGCGGTAGGGGTGGGCGATATGGCTCAAATATAATATTGTGATATTTCAGAGCATTCTGACGATAACGTTAAATTTCGTGATATAACCAAAAAAAAACTGAAATCATTTATTCATTTGACAAAATTAACTTAACATGTTGCTTTGCAGTATTATATAAAAATTAAAAAACGGGTTAATTTGACTGAAATTACTTTATTTAGTAAAGTATTCAGTCTCCAAGTATAAAAATAAAAAAATAAAAATGATCCTTCTGTTATTTAGATTGAAACAGTCTGCACAAAATATAGATTGACACAATCCACCACAAAAACTAAAGTGCAGGTGAAGTTTCCCAAAATAACTAAATAAAATAAAATGAAGCTTAAGATCTGTTGAGCACAAATGTAACATACAACAAAATATATGTTGCTTTAAATGAGCTATAACTTCCAGAACTTGTAACAAGGTGATCAGCTGACCCTGAAGCTTGTGGTGTTTCAGCTTCCTCTGTTCCTGCAGGAAGGATTCATTTCTCTGATGCTCTGTCTCTGATCACCTGACTCTGTTCTTGCTCCATGGACTGTGGAACTAAGAGACAGACCTGCGCGTGTTTGTACTGGCAGTTTAGAGCGGGGGAGACGCAGCCCGCACCGGCAGCCAGAGAGGGGTGGGGAGAGAGAAAGAAAAAAAAAGACGAGTGGCAATTTAGAGGGGGGTGGGGAGGGAGAGACAGTTGAGTTGTCTGTACCTGCAGTTTAGAGCTGGATGGAGCGACAGCTGAGCCGCGCGTTGTTTGTTTTTAGCTTTTTAGCTAGCTAGTATTGCGCACAGCTAATTAGCGTTACACCAGTACCGACAGGTGGAGGGGAGGTGCGCAGTTTGGTGTGGTTGTTCAGCGTGCACGGTTCTGTTAACGGGGCGGGGGCGCCCTGACGTATTACGTCATGAAATTAGCATATCATGATATAATTTTTTGAGATCCCAAAGCAGACATGTCAGAGCAGGGTCTGTGTCTGAATAATGCAGAATGCAGGCAGAAGCAGGGATTTGATGCGCTTTCACAGCCAGGAAACGACAAACACCCCCTCAGCTTGGATCTTCTGCCCCCTTTACTCAGCCGCACGCATCCACCGACCGTTAATAACTATATAAGCAGTCAAAGATTAATTAAATATGTCGTTTGTTTTTTTGTTTTTTTTTTCGGGTTCGGACCTGTAATTACTGTTAATTCGTTGGGTCGGGTGGGGTTCGGAATTATGGCTACGTGGTGGGGCTGGGTCGGGTCGGATTTTTTGGGACCGAATGCAACTCTACTCTGAACCAATAGAAAAAAAATTCTAATAATTATGATCTAGAACAGAGCAGTGGCACAAAAAGAGTCAGACATCATGCATCCCTTTGAAACTGCCACTTAAAATCATTTACACTAATTAGAGCCTGTTAAATAGTTTGTCCTACAAAACTGCTCTTTTAATGCTACTGAGGTAATATTTAATCTCACCATGCTACAAAAATTAACTAGCAACCACCTGAATTAAAGCTGAATTAATGCAGAACTTTGGGTATTAAAATGTGTAGACAATACAAATAAGATGTCAAAATGCTTTAAAATTCCCATCTAAGCACCAGTGTGGGGATCATTTGCTTTGCACATTTATGTTTATAGTAAAAACAGAAACTAAGGATGTCTCAGTTCAACACGTACACCAACCGCTCTGCATCCTCTCTGCTGGAAGTTTTGCTCAAACGTCACAGCCGAATGACAACTCCACAGTTTAAGACCTGTCACCCAGCTTAAACCAAACTTTAACCAGCTAAACCTCATCTTAAAGTCTGATGGCTACGTTTCTTAAACGTCAAACCAGTTCCCTAAAGATAAGTGCTGCTGTCAGCCCAAACCTCCTGATCGGATACTGCGGGACATCTCTGTAAAATGTAACGAAAAGGGTGCCGACTCAACTCTGATACAAATTCTCAGTTTATAACAATAGAGAATATGAATATTTTAATTAAAGGATTGATCACAAAAAAGGCCCCAGAGCCTGAGATCAAGAATTATGTCCAGCTAAAAAATGTTTCTAACGGAGATTGTTTCATTTTTATTTTATATTTTTGACACATTATTTGTTTTAAACCATTATCAATTGCACCAAACCAGACTGTTGTCAGAAACCAAAGGACCCTGGCTAATTTCAATATCTTTAAAAGTTTGCCTTTTTAACAGTTAAAGCCGCACACAGCAGAAAGGAAGCACGTTGAAAGGACACTTCTGTGACACATACCCAGCCTACACTGAACTATTTTAGCTCCTGGGAACACCCTCTTCATTGTGATGCCTTCACTAATCTGAAAGGTCATTAAAATAAGACGCTGCATTCTTCTGGAAATAACTTTACCACAATGATGCTATTTTTGATTAAGAAAAAAAGGACTGACGGCAGTCTCGACAAGGCTTAAACACCACAGTTCATTTAGATTTTTACCTTCCCTGAAAAAGGATAAACAGTAAATAAAAATAATGTACTTGTGATTTGATCTGAGATGACATAATTAAACACTGATTTATCATTTTTTATGTGTCAAAGCAGCAGCTTCTCAACATCATGCTGACAGGAGGGAGTGGACAGTAGATGCCTCCTCCACTCTTGACCTACCTCGTCTCCTGCATCCTCCACAGGGAGGAGCTAAAATCTTGCATTTTGATACTTGTGTGAAAGAAGCAATGAAGCTAAGATGAAACAAAGCTTTAGTTTTCTACTGAGTAGGAGAGGTACAAAAAAAGATGTGCGTAGCTCAAAGTGAATTAGAAAAGCAGCCCTGGTGTGGATGGACTTCAGGCCTTTTGTACAGCAGACTGTCATAATATGAAAAGCAAAGGTGTTACTAATAACATTACTGTTCCCAGTAAGTCAACACAATACCATGATAAAACGAAGATAGGATGCTAAGGAATCATTAATTATTATTATTCATGCTTGCTGATTAAAGCATCTTGTGTGAAAAGGGTCAAAGATTTCCACGGAGCTCCAATTGTCCCCGGTGTAGAGCTTTCACAGCCTGTCTTCACAGGGGGCACACACTGTTGGTGTTTCCCACCGCACCGTTGTCCTGTTCTGGAGCTCTTTGGCTTTCTCGAATGCAGCAATTAACTGCTGACACTTGAGTTCACACAATCAGCTCATTTGGTTTCAGCTGCACAAGCCTTGTTCAGCGTTCAGTGACGTGCATGCATCTGGGACAAAAGAGGTCTTGCCCTTTATCTGATATTTTTTTCTCCACAACTTCCCAGTGGAGTGACATTTTACAATGTGAGAGACAAAAAGCGTCCGATATTAAATATTTTTTAGCACATTGTTCTGCTTTGGCACCAGGATTAGAGGGACTCTGTATAAAAAATAATCTAATCTAAATCTAAAATAATCTCATTGACATCTCACAGCTGTCACAAAGTAAAGGTAATTTGAAACTTGAAAGAACTGCATCATATTTACTATATGACTAGAGTAGTCCTTTTATCGCGGGGGATCCGTACCCTGAAGACCCGCGATAGATGAAAAATTGCAAAGTAGGAATAGTACTTCAAGTAAGTAGTAGTTTATTTAATTATTTAAATATATATATAATCATTTTAAACCCTTCCCACACCCTTACAGTATTCTAAACAATGTTTCTAAACTGTAAATGCTCTAAAAGAGCACAGAATGTCATGATTTCAGCTCCCTGCCTCTTCTGCTCTTGGCCACGCCCACTTCTCTCTGTACAGAGAACAGCTGATCAGCTGCAGCAGGAAGTTTATTCTGCAGTGTGGGCTGCACAAATGTGCAGCAGTGCTAAATAATTCAAAATGATTTATTTTAAATAAAATTTCATGCTGATTGTGCGGCTCATCCATCAATCAGCCAATTGTGTGTCATGTCCACTCTTATTTTGAAAAACCACGATAGAGCGAGTCCGCGATAAACGAACCGCGAAGTAGCGAGGGACTGCTGTACGTGATTACACAATGAGAGCCTCTGCTTTTGTGAAAATACTTCTAGGTTCACAAAAAGACCTCTATTAAATTGAAGAAAACATCATTATCATTGATTAGGAAAAAATTGTATAGTAAAAAAAGTATAACATTTTGAATACATGGCCAAATGTTGCCATTAAACTGAACAGGGTACTTCTTTAAGGAAATACCAGGAAAAAGGAGGTCAGCAAAAGTAATACTGAACTGAGATCACAAAGATTGAATGCAGCAAGTAGTAATGTCTGCCACTTACCTCTTTTGATGCCGTGGCTGCATTTAGTGCAGTCTTTGGGGCTGAAGGGGCACCCTTCTCTGGGGATGGCTGGAATCACACTGGAATAAGTAGAGAAGCCCTTGATCCTGCAGGGCTCTCTGTAGCATGCCTCCACTGAGGTGCAGCAGTACACTGGGTGGCCAATTCCTGAGGGTTGTGGACTTGTGCTGGGGTGCAGCTTCGGCCGCTTGCTGCTTCTTGGGCACAAAGCGAGGGGTGGGATGGGAGATGGGGAGCTGTCAGGGTGGCTGAAGTGGACATAGTAGCTTGGGAAACAGGTGTATGTGTGCGGGCTGATGGTCATAGCTGCTGGGTGGGCTACAGTATGGGGTGACTGGAGATGGTGGTGATGATGGTGGTGATGGTGATGATGATGGTGGTGGAACACGTCAGACAGCGAGCCATCCTCTGGTTCCTTGAAGGTCTTGTCCTCCAGAAATAGGGCCAGTCTGTGACAGTACTCAACACATCTCTCCTGGGAACAGCAGTAGCAGGAAGACACCTCGGACTCCATCTGCTCCTCTTTGATTGTTTTCAGAGAGAATCCCAAAGAAGAGGCACAATGGAAAGCATGTTTGGTGCATCCCTGCCCCCCTGTTGCACTTTTCCACTCTGCATCCAAAGCTTCCGTCTTACACAAACTACAGCATCCTTGAAAAGCAGAGTTCAGCTGGGGGTGGACCGGTTCTTCTGTGCCCTGTATTCTGTGCTTTACTTGTTCCTCATGTTTGAGATGTAGTCTTCTTTTGGCCTGGGCTGTTTCTCCACTCACAGGTTTACCATTCATGTCACTATGTGTGGAAACTGTTGGTTCACTCTTGACCCCCGATTTGGACTCGGCCTTCTTTTGCCGTTTGGTTCCGTATTGGGTACTGGTGAGTTTAAGCAGCGCTGCAGCAGTAAGACCAGCCTGACGCCGCGGTGTTGGCGCAAACAAACTCAACCAGTCAATCTCCTGAGCCTGAGCTTTTGACTTTGTCGATTTTTTGACTCTTTCCTTCAGAACTGCTTGACCTCCTGAAGAAATATTTTTGGCTTTAGCAAGATCTTTGTCTGCATTGTCTCTGAAAGGCTTCCGATTCTTTGTGAGATTTGTCACGAGGGAACTGTCTCTGTAGAGCAACAAACTGTTGACGGCCTCAGCGTTTAGAGAGGCCATCCTTCTTCTGCGAGGCTCACCAAAAGGTGATGGTAACATGAGTAAGGCGCCATCTTGGTTCTTTTTTGGTTCCAGTGTTTGCCAATTGGCTGTGGAAGATTTTAAAGGTCCAGATTTGGTCATACTTTGATTTGGGCACTCTTTCTTTTTTACTTTAGTGCTCTTTTGCTTCCTAAGTTTTGCATTTTTTCTTTTACCAGCAACCCGTTTCTCATCCAGACGGGTCAACAGGACACAGCAGGCTAATGAATCTCCACTACCCGTTGATAAACACTTTTTTCTACGACGCGAGTCTTTCTTGGCTCTCTGATGTTTTCCACTGTGTTCCTTCTTTTTGTATTTCCTTTTCTTTATACCACCTCCTTTGTCCTTGCAGTCCTTCTTCTTCTTCGGTTTCTTGCATTTTATTGTCTGGTTTTGCTGCGCTTTCACCATTGTCTCAGCATCCAAGAGCAAATCCGCCAAAACCTCGTCATCCACTGGTTACCAAAATGATGGGTTAACGCTCAGATGGGACTTTTGGAGAACGTCATCGTGGGTCAACAAACTGAGGAGACACAAAGCAAACATTTAACAAAAATTCATAAGCCACTAACATCATATTAAAGAATAAAAAGTAAGAAACTATTATCTTCTGTTTAATTATTGAGGAAAAAGAGCTTTGTCTGAATTTACAGGTTCCCACATATATCCCTCTCTTGAAAATGCACTTCAAAAACAAAAGATGAGAAGAAAATTACAAGTAATTACGGAAATAATCTTTTTCATATTTTTGATGAGAATACTATTTTGAATTATATCTTCTGTTAAAAGCTAGAATTACTGCCTCAATGTTGCATTTATTTCTCGGCCAGTCAGGTAGAGCTGTGATGTTTTTGCCCAAGCCCCCAGCCCGAACTGGCCCAGTCAAAACGATGTGCTTGATGGGCGGGCCGGGTCGGGCTTTTGATGCAGTTTTAGAAGTGACAGGTTCTTTTTCCTTGGGTGTGCACCTGCCGAGGGGGCTGTTGCCCTGGATCACCTGCAGATTATCCTTCACCCCAAGTTTGCGGTGGATTATTGCGTTTTCTTACCCAGGACTGCAGCGGAGGCACGCTAAAGCCTATGGACATTGAGATCTGGTGAGATCGTTTCTTTTATTTCTTGATTAAATTGTGTTAACTGCCTTAAATGTTATCCTTTGTGGACAATCTATTATTTGTTTATTTATGAGAGCTTTGCCTGTGCAGGTAAATTATTTTCTGTTCACTTGGTTATTCTTATTTCAACCAATATGTTTTTTGCGCTGCCCGCGGGCCCCACTTTGGGCACCCCTGCAATAAGTGTTTTATGTGATTAATCCCCCTTTGACCTTAGTTTTGGGGGCGGGTTGTTAGATGGACAACCGGATCATCAGCTGCCTGCATCCGCTGACCGTTAATAGCTATAATAACTTTAATATTATTATAACTATAATATTCTGCTGACTCTTGTTAATAAAAAATACATTTTATTTTCCTTTCTTTGAAAGACGTTTGTAAATCATGTCAAACTGATTTAATTACAAAAGTAATTTTTTTTTTTTTCCAGGTTCGGGCCTGTAATTACAGTTAATTGGTCAGCTCCGGGTCAGGCTCAGAAAAAAATGATACAGGTTCTGGCCGGGTCGGATTTTTTTTAGGCCCGAATGCAACTCTACAGTCAGGTCGCAGTTTATATTCAGATGTGTCCAGAGTTTTACACCTGAACCTCAAAGCAGGATAAACTCCATCTGAGATGTATTTTCACAGCTGCAAACACTTTGAATTGGTACAATCACCAGTCATTATGCAAAAAGTACCCTAGGAGAACATTTGTTCAGTTAACACTTTGCTATGTAAGGGTTTCTGCCTTCACACAATTAACATTAATACTGCCTATTATTAAACACGTGTAGCTTTGATGAATGAGTGGAACGCTGCATATAGGCTGGCAGATAAAAGAATAAATTTGTACACAAAATCACAGTAAATACGCCGAAGCATTGCCTGCTCTGTCACACATGAGGTATTACCAGGAAACGATACTCCACAAAAAGCTTGGGGCAAATGTTAGTGACATTTGTGTTCTCACATGCAGCCCCTCTGGAACGACAACAACTAAAAGGCTGGAGGGCAAGGATGAAAACGGCATGAATGTTGGCAGCAAATATGACAAGAGTTCCTCGAGGAATACATGAAAAGGAGGAGGTTAGATGGAGAGATAGGTGGAAAACAAAAAGTTGCAATGGTTTTGAAAGACGAAAGATTCTCAAGACAGCCAAAAAGTGTCAAAAACATACTCCCTTTTTTGATGTTTTGCACCTTTTAAACAGTTATTATAAAGCAGTTCTGCTTCCAGTTGATTGTTTTTGAATATCCAAAGATCTCTTTGTGAAAGACAGGACTTTTACAAGCACAGTGCAAGTTTACAGGGTGAGAATCTGACACTAAACTGACAAGCCTTTGGGTGGAGTAACACTTTAATAACGTTCATTGTGTAAGTTGTTGATGGGCAGAAGCACAGAGTATACACTGCAGAGGGGTGGGGTATATTTACTGCCTTTTAGGTCACGTTGAAGCCAATGATTGACTTTCACAATCCACTAAGAAGCTACCACTGAAGACATTAATTCCCTCTGTGCTTAAAGATGAACACGAAAGGAAGCGGTATGCAAATAATTTGACCCTTTGATACAATTAGGCTCTTTAATTCTCACTTCTACCATGCAAGCTTGTCTACAAGGTCAAAACACCAATAAATAATTTAAAACTGCTTGTGCTGTCTAAAGTTATTGAATTCATTTCCAGAGTTTGAGGACACAAAACGGTCCTTTGATCAGATGAGTCAAGAACCGATGCTTTTTCTCCCACTAGCACCGGTGGCAGAAGCACTCGTCACACAACAGCCTCTTCAGTTTCCATGTCAACAGGTCAGTATCGAGTGCATCTAACAATGTCTGGCTCCATGAACCTTTCAATGTAATTTACTTATCTCCCTGCTCTGTCAAAGAAGCCCACCTCACTTAGCAAAAGCCTTCAGAGCTCCTGATGATTCAACTGCTGGTGACCTTTATTCATTTTGTGCAGCAGGAGGACATAGATCATCCTTCTTGCTGCTGCTGTGAACATAATTATGCTACTTGACCTCTAAGTCAAACAACATGGGTCTCCTTTGAATAAATGACTCAACTAAAAAAAACCAAAAAAAAAACCACAGAGCTTTCACAAACATCTTCTCTATTTAGAAATGAACTTTTAGACTCCCATACCCAGCACATACCAGATCTACAGTGGCTGTGAGGTGTAAATGAATATTTCAAAAAACAGAATTACATTAAAAAAAAACACACACAAAACCAAAACAATAAAAACACAACAACATTTGAAAAAACAGAATTACATTTGAAAGAACAGAATTACATTAAGTCAAAGCGGAAGTGGCCGAAGCGGAAGTGGCTGGAATCACATTTGCAAAAAACGGAATTACATTAAGCCAAAGCGGAAGTGGCCCAAGCGGAAGTGGCCAAAGCGGAAGTGGCCAAAGCGGAAGTGGCCAAAGCAGAAGTGGCCAAAGCAGAAGTGGCCGGAATCATATTTGAAAAAATGGAATTACATTTGCAAAAACGAAATTACATTTGAAAAGACGGAATTACATTAAGCAAAACCGGAAGTGGTAGGTTTGGTTTTAGTGGATTTAAAAAAAAAACTGTATTAAGATATTTATTTATTACATTTTCTCAAATGTAATTCCGTTTTTTCAAATGTGATTCTGCCCACTTCCGCTTTGGCCACTTCTGTTTTGGCTACGTCTGCTATGGCTTAATGTAATTCCGCTTTATTTTCAAATGTAATTCAGTTTTTCAAACGTGATTCTGGCAACTTCTGCTTTGGCCACTTCCACTTTGGCTTAATGTAATTACTTATTGCTTTTCAAATGTAATTCCATTTTTTTCAAATGTGATGTAGTTTTTTCAAATGTGATTCCGGCCACTTCCACTTCTGCCACTTCCTTTTTGGCTTAATGTAATTCCGTTTTATTTTTAAATGTAATTCAGTTTTTCAAATGTGATTCCAGCCACTTCCACTTCGGCCACTTCCACTTTGGCTTAATGTAATTCCTTTTTTTTCAAAATGTAATTCCACATTTTTTTCAAATGTAATTCCGTTTTTTTAAATTCCGCTTATTTTCAAATATAATTTTTCAAATATGATTCCAGCCACTTCCGCTTCAGCCACTTCCGCTTCGGCCACTTCCACTTCAGCCACTTCCACTTTGGCTTAATGTAATTCTGTTTTTTCAAATGTTGTTGTTTTTGTTCAAATGTTCATTTACACCTCACAGCCACCATACAGATCAATTAGAAGGCTGCTTCTTTAACAAGCTGCCGCTCATTTTATGTCAACATTTTAGAAACTTATCTGACTAATATAAATGTGCAACATGCTGTATGGTGCCTAAGTTCATTTAATCAAGCCATGAATAAAGTGACTGTAATAAGCAGTAGGTGCACATTAAAGTGTCACTTTATGTTCTCTCACCTCAGACACTAACTTGTGACCTTTGCAGACAAGCAGCTTGGAAACCACATCAATGGCTGAAGCTGCAGTGAGATCTTTTATTCTATTTTAAATCAACGATAGTTAACACCGCACATAAAATCTAAAGGTCGTGCACGTAAAGCCAGGCTGAATATGAGCATCTGTCAGATAAAAACAGTTCCCCTTCATTTAAATATTTTTACTCCAGGTCTTTTAGTTTTTGCATAAAAGAAACAATCTTTTCCTGTCTGCAGCTGAGTTTCAGGCACCAAGCAGGACGATCCGCGGTTCAAAACTTGTTGCTGCGCTGCGTAACAACAGCTTCATTCGGCAGCTTACCAACTCGCTCGCACTTTTACACCACTTCATTTAATGAGCGAGTGAGCAACAAATTGCTATATTTTCGCAATGACAGCTTGCAATCATGCAACGCTAAACTGTTAGAAAGCCGAAACCGAGATCATTAACAATAAGGATTCTCCTCTTTATCACATTTTCTGTTCAGTTTGACTTCATTAACTAAAACTAAAATATACTTAACTTGCAAGCTGCAGTTTGTTAAAACCAATGCCTGCTTGTACGCAGTGATAAGCTTGTAAACATATGCAAACCCACTTTAACTCTCGAGTGGACATTTTCAAACCATCGGCCGGTTTTAGAGCCCTTATTGTCGAATAACTCGGTGAACCGTGAAATGCAATCCATGAGGGGGAAATTTAATTTCCAGATAACAAGCGGACAGAAGGAGCCTCACATTGAGTTTCTGTCCGTGGATATCAAATCAAGTCGCTCCATTTGAATAAGACAAGCGTGCAGGGTTGAAGGACAGCAGCTCATTGCAGCTTCATCATTTCCTCCGGCTACACAGAGACCACATCAACCACAGTAAGACCATCGCTCCACGGCTCAGGCTCTGTTTTCACACCATTTGTTTAAACAGGTTG